AAAAGGTTAGTATATTTTTTTTATAGAAATAATGAATATATTTCAGATGTGCACATTAGTGTGCTGGATATGTAAAGTATAAAATGATTTTACAGTTTATTCTTATGTTGTTTTGTTACACCATTATCCCAGTTAAGAAGAGGATTGTGCGATAACAAACATGTTTAACTCCCGTCACATTCTGCAAGTGCCTGTCCCAATGCAGGAGCCTGCATGTTGTTGGTTGCTTTCTGTCATATTTGTTTTTCGTTTGTTGAACATATCGGGCCGTTGGTTTTTCTCGTTCAAATCTTTCACATTTTGTCATGTCAGAGTAGTATGATCAAGCATATAAGAGCCTTTTTAAGAGTGTTTTATTGGTCTCTTCTGCACATCTCCAGAATGTCTTCTGGTGAAGAGTCCAAAAAAATGAATCAGGACCTCTTCTGGAGATATTCTACGGAAGATAAAAAAAACAAAAATTCAATTTGCCGTCGAATATAGCAGATTTTTGTTATGTTGGGTGACATAAATGAAGTTTACGATGATTTTATAGAAAATTAAGATACGTCCGGAAGACAGGACTGTAAAAGTGTGCTCTGTTCGTGACATTTTTCTTTGTTCTTTCTTCTAACTCAATTTTGGTAGACAAATCACTATTTGATTTTTAAGAACAATCTTAAACTGCACAAAACTTCGTCAATGTTTGTCTCGAATATGATCAAAAAGGACATCTTGTCTATCCAATTTTTTTTTTAAAGTAACCAAACTGGATTATTTTTGTATAAAGCAAAGATATCGGAAAGTTCTCAAAATCATTTTTCTCTGGTGGTCCTTGAAGAAAATCTTCTGGTCCTAACTATTATTTCTATTGCAAAATTTCGATGGTCAAAACCTTCGGACAACCACTTTTCAAAAATTTTCATTGTGTATGGATCTTCATATGCAAGTATACAATGTATACCAGACATTTCTCAGACTCTTTTTATTCTTTTTTTTTTAATAAATCCGTTGGTTGTGTACTGATTGATACTTTAGTCTGGGAGAACAAGATTTATTTCAGTACTAGTTGTAATTAGCTTTAAATAATTTTCCAGTAATTGCAAATACTCTTATTTCGGTGCTTTGTGTCTATTGTCTTAATGTAATTTTTTTTTTTGTGTGTCTCGTACCGATTTTTTGAGTTAATCTAATTGCAATTGATTTGTGCAGGTTGTTCTTATAGTGTACTATTACACCACTGTCCCAGCTTCGGGGAGGGTTGAGCGCTCACAAACATGTTTTTGTACTGTTACACCACTGTCCCAGGTTAGGGGGCGGGTTGGGCCGGATCCCGCTAACATGTTTAACCCCGCCACATTCTGTATGTATGTGCCTGTCCCAAGTCGGGAGCCTGTAATTCAGTGGTTGTCGTTTGTTGCTTTGTTACATTTTTGTTTTTCGTTCATTTTTCTGTACATTAATTAGACCGTTAGTTTTCTCGTTTGAATTGTTTTACATTTGTGATTTCGGGGCCTTTTATAGCTGACTATGCGGTATGGGCTTTGCTTATTGTTGAAGGCCGTATGGTGACCTATAGCTGTTAATTGCTGTGTCATTTGGTCTCTTGTGGAGGGTTGTCTCATTGACAATCTTAGTTTTTATATCAACCCTGCCATATTCTTTGTGTGCCTGTCCCAAGTCATGAGCCTGTAGTTTAGTGGTTGTCGTTGGTTCATGTCTCGACTCATATTTAATATTTTGTAAATTGTTTTGGTATGTATAATTAGGCCGTTAATTTTTTCGTTTGAATTGTTTCTCACACTTTTCACGTCGGGCCTTTTATAGACGACTTTTAATACAGTATCGAGTTTTGTTATTGTTGAAGGCCTAAATTACTGTTGCCTATAATTGCTTACATCCACTTCATATTTAAACTCCGGTGGATAGTTGCCTCATTAGCAATCATACATCTCTTCGTTTTTATATTATATACCTGACTTTTAAACTCGTGTTTTCCTGAACCGAGTCCTGAACATGCATGACATAATTGTCACTGGGCGTTGAAAATTAGCAACAAACAATCAATCAATTTAAACTTGTGTTAAATAAGAAGAAAAACTATTTGATATTTATTCATTTATTGGGGTGGGGGACAGGAGGATTTCATATATGAATATGGTTGCCTGGTAAGAGCTGAAAAATAGGCACAGATTAAAAACGTTAATAATGCCCTCTTCCCTTCCCCATCCTTCATCTATAAATTTAAACTGACCACCACGGAATAGCCCAACTTAGTGTTGAAAGTAGCGTTAAACACCAATCAATCAAAATTCTTTCCCTAGAATATCAAATTGTCGTCCCTTAACTGTTATTGTCCGTGTAGTTCTTATATTTATCCAGCTTATCGTCCTACAGGGATGCATGTCCTACTAAGACTGTCATACCATAAAAACGTTTATAACACAGCTCACATTCTAATATATCTGCATTCATAAATTTATCAATGTCATTTAGACTAAACGACGCCATGTTTGTTATGTGCCTCTGCCGTCTAAACTACCTATCAAAAAAAAAAGAGGTGGAAGAGAGCCAGAAGATCTTCTCTATGCAAAAAAACCAGAAATAGACCTCTTCTGGCTCACTACCGAAGAACAAAAAAACACGCCCCAGATGAGGTAGGAACACGTACTTACTTATACTTCATTGATATAAATCCTCAATGTTTCAGACACAGAACAGAAACCAGGGCCAAGAAACCCAAATATATCTATGTCAAATTTGCAACTAAACTGTTATATGGAAGCAAGGTAGAATAGCTTGTCATGACTGTAAAACGTGGTTTACACCTGCAATATATGCATATGTCCACTCCTGTATACATGTCTCTTAACAACTTTTCATGGCATTGCGCCAATTCTGGAATGCCAAATTTTGCATCTTTTTTATTTGATTCCCACTATATCAATATGCAACAGCTTAGCAACTTTATGAAGTAGCGACATCTGAGAAGTACCCGTGTTCGGTCTGAGCAACCAACATCTTGCTCTTCACCATCTAAGCCACTAAAGTAAAATAAAACATATAGCTCCCCAATAAAATGCATAGTCATCAACTTTCAAAGCATCAACAATAGCATTTGGCAAAGGTTAAGAACCCTATTGAGAAATCGTACCTAAGCGTCATCACAGGCACATACACACCGGGTTGTTGCCGCCAATATGCAGTGCTGAAATATTTACATAAATTCTATGAGGTCAGAAAAGATGGTCACGGGTCAGTCCTATTGGTCATAAAGAAAGGTTATATCATTGACTCCACTGAAACTAAAAGAACATCTGAGGCAGTATTTGCTAAAATAAATCTTGAGAAAAATCTGTCACTCATGTTTTGGTCTGTATATGTATACTCCCATCAAGTGACACCAATTATATCAATAAGCTTTGCGAAGCCATATTGAACAACTACATCAGAGCGATAAAAATGCAGTATTTTGGATAGTGGTGATCTAATTGAAACCTTCCAAAAATTTACTGAAACTCAACATTCATATAAGGAAATAAAGTCAATTCTGGTATCAGCAAACGAATTCTGGACATGATCAGCAACTGTTATATAGATCAAACCTTCACATTTTCCAACCGTCTTAACAATACACTGGATGTGTTTTGTAAAAAATCGTACAAGCCTCATCATTAGATAAAAACCAGCTACAATCTCATTGGAAAATTTAATCACTGGAACAACGAGAGTTGTTCAAATAAAAGAGAGGAAAGGTCAGTTTCCCCGAGTGTTTGCTTCATGAATGCATGGAGTAAAATGAAAACTTTAAAACCTCAGAAGAATTTGCATATCATTTAGCCAAAATAACAACAGATTTACCCTAAAAGTCTTTCCATGGTTTCCATAAGTATACATAAAATTAAAATATTATAAAACCATAAACATTGTAGTTTGAGACCATTTTGATTCAATTATTTATAAAGGACATTTAAACATGGTTTATATGTAAATTTGATACCAAACAAAATCCAGTACCAAAGTGAGTCAATTTGTATTCGAAAAACAATACATAGATACACTTTTTTAAATTTTGGTTCTTGATTTAGATGTCCGGTTCCTATTCATTTGTGCCAAACTTTTCAACGACAAAAGCGTTGATCCTGTGCAAACTGTTTTATGAAGCGTTCTTGTGCTGCATACAAACTGTGCTTCGGTAAACGCTAGTTCATCCAAATAAATCTACAAAAAGAAGCATTTGAATACAGCCCTAGAACGTAATTATGCACATGCAACTGGAATTAAGAGTACATTATTCCAATGATTTTTCATAAAATCTACTGTTAAGAGATTCGAGCAGCACTGATGACATTTATTGTTACCATTTAATAGTATTGTTAAAACCTTCAACGTTAAAAATGACAGAGTTTCAATCTTTAAAGGTTTTTTTTCTCTTTTAATTGCAATAATAAGAAGAAAAAGACGATCTATTACCTAATATCATAGTTTTTCAAAGTCTATTGTCTTACGACCTTCAATGGTATCATTGTTAAGTGATTTTTTTACTTTAAGGAATTTCCTCATAGGTACGTCTGTGTCTAATTCTAGATCAAAACCCAAATTTTAGGCAATTAAGAGATATAACTTATGGTAAAGACACTTCTTTAGAAGCTCATATGTTGACCTCTGATTTTTTGTATTTGTGGTTTCATCGACGTATCCCCACATCTCTTTTGATATCCATACAATGATGTAAGCAGAAAATGCATATTTTGACAATAATTAACATGCGGGATTGGATGTGGGTCCTTTCTTTCTTTAATCTTTTGTCTTTATGCCATTTTCTTGTGTTTTTTTTCATTAGGCCCATTTTTTTTTCTATTCGTAATTTTCGGGTTTTTTACTCATTTTTCTCTTTTCGTTATATTTAAGCACCCCATTTTTCATTGTTCTTTATTTTTTCGTCCATTGTTCTCTATTCTGTAAACCCCATTCGGAACCTCTAACATTGTAATGATTATGATGCCACACTAAACTGGAAATAAAAGTTCTCACAAATTTATTAATAAATAAAATTCAATTCATCTTTCTTTACATACATGTGCACTAAAACAATTAAGATGTTGTCATTATCAATTACAAATTACAGAATAAAATCATCAAAACTCTCATCACTCAGTCAATGACAAATGCTGCGACATCAAGGAACCATTCCAAGATAATGCCCCTACAAACCATTCATACAATTTACAAATAAAAAACATGAAAATTATAATTACCAAGGTTAGTTAACCAACAACAAATCAATTTTATAATTAGCACCTACCAATCTCAAAAGCACCATATAATATCAACAGACTTATTTAAATATCTGCAATGTCTTAAAAATATCTTTTTAAATTATAACATAATACTGATAACAATGAATTTCTTTTTAGGAAATACGAAAATGTGGAATGTTGTACAGATAAATTAAAAAAAAGTTATAAACGTAACATTTTAAACACAAAGACATCAATCTATAACAATTTCAACTGTTTCATCAAAAAATAAAATATGTCCAGCATTTCTAAAAGAAAATATTGGAAACCTTAAATTATGTCATGATTATGAATATTCATCACCACGTGGTCAATGCATGTTGTACATCATGAAACCTTAAATGAAAGAGACCATGCATATAATACTAATCAAAATCGAAATTTTATACATTAATGTTATGCTAGACAAAATTACCATTGATTTCATAAGTGACCAGAAATTATCAAGCCTAATTGACTTGAAAGTCTGCATTTTACTACACAAACATTAACATAATGCATTATGCAAATAAGCATATGACTCATTGCAACATAATTCGAAACTTCATAGAAATGTAATGTTACAACTCGATATTTGAACACCAATGGCTGACCATGAAGGACTAGAATGCCAAAATGTTGAGACATGTAAAATCCATACGCAAAACTTTTCATTCAATTTCTATCTGATTGTTTATATTCATGGCAGAACCTATCAACTCTGATATGGACCAAATTTTTGTTTTCCCACTCGCTGGGTCTGTAGTAGTATGAGTCTCGAAGTTGTTGTAGGTCTGCTGGTATCCTACTGTAACTTTATCATCCGGGTTATCATACATTGTAAATCCTGAATGCTGCGCATTGTACTGAGGTTCGTAATAATTATGCTGATAAAGATTAGCGTCAGTGTCACAATAACTACTATATGGCACGTAATAGTTTTCTTGGTTGAAATTATTCATTCCTCCGTTCATGACTTGTTCGTTGCCATAGTGATGACTGACTGTCATGGGGTTTACTGGCTGACATGGCGGGTTGTAGACAGGAGGCTGTGGATTTATTAACTGTTTCTTCATGGAAGACATAAAAGTATCGAAACCCGGTAAGCGAGAATCTTTTGTGTTTGTAGAAATTGTTCCAATTGTTGTTGCTAGAAAAGAAGATGATAAAAAAAATCAGAATGGCAAAATGTATGCATGTGAAAACTAGACATTTTTCAAGCCTTATCATTCATGTAGCTTTACCTAATTACGATTTTTTTATATATAGATCGGCTAAAAGATATCTCATTCAGTATTACACTTGGTAAAATTACTACATACGTTGCTACTTTGACAGCCCAGTGTACTGGTATTTTTGCAGGAAACATCATGTTTTGTAAAATATACAATTAAAGTAATACAAATTTCATCTTTTTTTTTACAAGTTTAGATCACTCGATCGTGCAGCCATGTTTACATACAAATGACACCTGCTATAAATATGTACCTGGCATAGCTGGCATAACGGGCATAGCTGGCATGGATTTTCTGGAGTCCTGTGATGACGTATCAGTTCGACTATCTGTGCCATCCTCGTCTTCATCACCGGAAGCCCCCGAATCACTGTTGTTGTCTGATGAACCGCCTTCTTCCGAATTTTCTTTCTTCATTCGTCGCCTAGCGTTGGCAAACCATGTGCATACTTGTGTCATTGTCATCTTGGTTATTTGAGTGAACATTATTTTCTCTTGTTTGGAAGGATATGGACTCTTCCTGTGTTCTCTCAGCCATGCTTTCAATACACCAGTTGCGTGTCTGGTATCAACTTTTTTACCTGGATTAACATCATATGTGGTTTTCTGCCTATGAAAATAAAAGTGTGTAATTAAAAAAACACATCTTTATTAAGAAAAAAATATTATAGTGTTTTGATTTTATTCGAGTATCATAAGTCAATAAGCACAGAAATAATGGACAATTTTTCACAGAAATTTGCAATCACTGTACATGTCAGAATTAAAAATGCTGAATAAAAATACAACACAGCGTATTTTACAATTTGTGAAGGTCGAACTTGATAATACTTACATGTTTATATAGTCATGGACTTGTGGCTTGATAAGTGAATCAAAGTTCGGGGTAGTCTTCGGTGCTCCACCGGGATTGAATCCTGAACTTAGCATCGCTAAACTTTCAAGACTTGATTCTGGTCTACCCTATTAAAAAAAGAGTGTATTTGAATTAATACCAGTAAAAGTATACACCATCACATTTTTGAATGTGGAATGTTTATATGTATATAACATTGATCCCAAGCTCATTTCGATTTTGATTGTTTATAGTCCCTTTCATGCGTGTTTTATGGAGCAAATGTATGAAGAATAGAAATTAAAATTTTCGAAAACAATGGTCACTTTGAAACTTTTATCGTTATCAATCTGACCTTAATGACTATCTAAACTCTCAACAATGGAGGCGTTGTGAATATTGATAGGATAAACTAAAGGAAGTTAAAAGGAGGTGTGGGTATACTTCAATGATGCAGCAACCAAACGACACAAAAAAAAACATTTACAGCGACAGATTCAGGGAGCGTAGAGGGTATTAAAAATATCTTTTTCTTGTGCATAACATCGTAAAAAAATCGCCTCGTCTAGGTAAGAGATATTTTTACCGTTTCGGGAAAATACGCCCCCCCCCCCCCTCCCCCTTCATCAAACCCTTGGTCAGTTCCTTGTTCAATAGTGCAAATGCTGTCGTTTGTGTGATGAAATCTAACAAAATAACTTCATGTAAGTTAACTTTGACGAACTAAATATTAAACAAGTATACTAAAGGTGTCTGAAGGAAAACCTCGCCTTCACTGTACCATAAAACGGGGCTGTTTTATATCTAACTTCACATTAAATTTACCACGAATGCATTGGACCGTGAAAATTATGTATATCTCCTCCTGCATAATATTTCTTTTCATTAGAGAGACTATAAACAAAAGCCGGTTGGATTCGCCTTGTGATGTAATGCGTGACCTTTTCGCTTATCAATCACAAGTACGTTTCTCTGACACATTACTGGTTGACAATTCAGTGCAAAAATTCTGCGTAACTTCTCGTGACTGTTGATTGTTTATTTGAAACATATTTAAAACATAACTTCAGTAGACTGTTTTAAATTCAAATGATGAAATAAATATATGCATGTATAGATAATAAAAAAAATGTTGGTATCTTAGATTGGTAAAAAAAAAATTTTGTACGGAAAACTGAAGCACATACCTTTGCAAAAGAAACATATAAAGGTGTATTTAAGACTTGTAGGACATATACTTATCACTGAATTGTTTCTTATCTAATTTTGTTATATCTTAATTTACCTGTGGCGGACGAACACCTTTTCTTTCTGGCGAGTTAACTCTTAGGTATGCCGAGTTATAGAGAGCTGGTTCTCCGTTGCTGATATCCGGATTATGTTGCATAGACGTCACAGGTACCGGTTGATGATCCGGTAGAGTGTTATAGCACTGACAAATCAACCGGTTAGTAAACGGTTCAACAACTGTTGGGCAGGAAGGGTTCTGGCATATCTGAAAATATATCAGTTGATTCTAAATTATGAACTCTTGGGTATTTCCCTTTACTGGTTAATGGATGCGTTTCAATACTTCAGACACTATTTGGTCATTGCAGGTTCTCATAGACATATTACGTAAATGTGGTAATATACAAAATGTATCCGGGTTTTTTGTTAATAATTCGCCAACAATCGTTTAATCAATCGATATATCCTTAATTCTTTTTCCTGGATTACAAAATAAGTAGTAAGGTCCGTTTCAACATAATAAACAACGTATGATTGTGAAATATAAATCAAATGGTATCATCATAGAACAGACTGTCTGTCTGTTTGTCCTATAGTCTTGTTTTCTGAAAGTCTAATAACAAATTATAACAGAAGTACTAACAGATAGAAGCATGCGGTTGGAAGCTAAAACAAATGTTGTTTTAATGATGGTTTAAAGCTGTGACCAATAAACCTGTTGTTTTCCAAGAATAAAGCAATAAATTCTTCAATGCGTCTATATTTCCAAAAGATGGACAAAATTGATATTTGATACTATGCAAGCATGTTGAAAAATGTTATGGATAGCAAAATTATATATGTTCGCGGAAATTTAAAAAAAGAAATTTAGTATCCATGTTTTTGCGATTTATTACACCTTATGAATACTGCTTGCATATGATAATGTAAAATTTATTGCATGGTAAATATATACATATTATAATTATGTACATGCATATTTTGTGGTTGACGAAAACATCAAAACAAACTGTTTCAATCTACAATAAAATCCCTTCTGCTTCCGAAATACATGTACATTAAATATCATTTCATACGAGAGGTCTTCGCCCTTAAAATCGCCATAACCTACCATGCACTAACATATACGTATATGTGGGTTAATACCTTTTAAGTGTACACAAGTTTTATACAAGGAAGAGCAATTACTCCGGATGACACTGATGCATGTTCGTTACGTTATAAAAAATATAAAGTGTACGACCCTTACCTGATGACCCAAACCTTTGTCTCCACTTGGCAATAAAAACTGACCAGCGAAGTCAGAAAAATGTTAACAACTAATATCAATTACTCAGAGAAGCCGGAAACACCACTAACGGCGGCGACCTATCCAATGTAACACTAAATATATATGTATATATTTATGTATCAGTAGCTAGCTCATAGCTTCCGGATCTATCAATTTTTACATAAACACCGGTGTCATCGTTTTTTCTGGTCAACTGTTTTGACATATACGCATTTAGAATTTGAAACGATCTGATGTCTTTTTAGAACATTATCACCTGTATAAATTTGTTTCATGATACGTTCATTTATGGAAAGAAAATATGTGCGTGAATTGATTCAAATGTGTATAGTTAGTTCATCGAAAGCTACATCTTTTTAAAGATACACGTATTTTACTACTACATACCATATGTTTTTGTCCGTCTTGTAAATCGCCTTGTGGGATAACTCTATTCTCATCCGCAAAATACATCATTCAATTTAAAATTCACTGTCACAATACACAGTATGAATAAGTCCCCAAAATAAATTGTCCACTCTATTATTAAAAATCCCGTTATAATATAACTGTGTAACACGTGTATAGTTTAGAGGTGAGAGAACGAATTTAAATGATGGGTTAAACTCGAATTCTTTCACTTAAATCACCATGAACTAAGTAATTACTCAGAATATAGGTCACTATCACTCAAATCAAAATATTAATTAGAGTAATCAGAGTTATTAATAAGTTAAATACTCCTCATTAAAATGCAAAGGCGATAAGTAATTGGTCCATGTAAACAAATTTCTAATCCTCACTATTCGCCATTGGGACCTCTCATTCAGACGACAGTGTATGTATAAACGGTAGAAAAAGATAGCCCAGGGCTTAGAAACAACTCAACCATAGCATGATGTATTGTTTTAGCTGAGGGCCATTTCAAGTCACAGTAGATGTGCCGCTTTTTAGCTGTCAACGATAGAGAACGTAGGATTAAATATGGGAAATTGCTATTGATAATTTTATTTTATGTTTTTTTGTTTTAAAAACTTATTGTTTGCATGTCAGGGTTAAAAAATGACATTGCGAAGGATTATGCGATCTTAAGAGATTAGAAGGAAATAAGTTTATAAAAACGACCTTCCGTTTCCTGATCTTTCATTTCATGTTAGCTGATCGTTTAATGTGTTTAATTTTATTTCTCAATCTTATTTAATGTGCAAATAAATACAAATTCTAACGAAAAATTATATATAAAGGGCGATTTATTGAAAATATCATATTTAATGAGTATTTATTTAGCAAACAAATTTCCGATAAACAGTTAAAAATATATTTAGATTACGGAAACAATATTAAGTATACATTATAAATATAGTCTTTCTAATACATTTTTTTTTTACCATACATCTAAATGTTCATTTATAATAGACAAAAGTATAATTTATGATTTATCTTAATTGAATTGACAGGCCGTAAAAGATTTGTTTTAACAGAAAATAAATTTCTGTTATGTTTGTTTAACCGCAATGGAAAATTTCGTTTCCAATGTAGTATACAATTTTAACTTTATTCTGTCATGATAATAGTAATACACATTTTTGAATTAACATAATTAAAAGTTTTGACATTTTAATTCCATATTAGTATACTTACACACATTTTACATATTACATGAATGGCCAGTTGTATATTTACCTACACAATAAAGGTTGTTTATTACATATGATGTGCATTTTTTGGCTTTCAATGCATAACGATACCTGGCAGTTGCCGTTTTCAGCTGACTTCTCAAACGTTTATGTCCATTTCAGTGACGGCTATTATCAGCCCATCACAATACGAGGGTCTGTACGGGTTTTACACAATAGAAATAGGACCATAACTGCATAAAAATGGGACAACAATAAAAAAAAGAATGTAGAGAATAATGGGGGTGCTAAATTATAAACAAGTAGAGAATAATGGGTAAAAATTATAAAAGAATAGAGAAAAATTAAAGAATACAGAAATGAAGGACCCCAACCATACCCAATATGAGTCATCTAAACATTGCCATTCACCATTCTCGTATAAAAAATTGTTTATGTTTTGATGTTCATAAAAAAGTTTTATTTATGTATGATTATGATATTTTTACCTGATTAAGTAATTTCAAATGCGTATGTTGCTAGCTTCGTATTCATACATGTAAATTTCAGCTGTTTCTTCTACAGCAACCGTCGGAAGGAAACCCTAAACTCGATGCTTTTATCAAAATACGCTAAGATATTTAATTGAATAATATTTCTAGCATACTTGTCAGTAGAATGTAGTCCTTATATTTTTAACATGTTTAAAGGTGATTGCGGTAGCCATATATTAGGTTACAGTCAGATACTCCTTGCACATCATTTTACATGAATAATCTTATCGTTCTTAATGCAAACATATACATACATGAGCAAAATTCTTTTGGGCATGTATTTCATGTGGTTATGTCAAAATTTGACTTTTATGAACACTGCACTTATTTCATATTGCAAACGATTTAAGTAAGAAAATACACAGGGCATGCGCAACACAAAACCATATATATTAAAGAAAACATAGACCACCAACGATCCATCAACTATAGGAAAAAACAACAAAGGACTGTGCAACATACATATCCAACTTTAACGTGGGCTAACACAGATGCACTAAAAAAAAGGGGGGCATTTTTTTCTCATCGTTTCCACAAGTGATACCTGTCGTAGTACCCATATAAATGATTAAACAACTCACTGACTATTAGATTATGCGACATACCTATTCATCATAAAATAATTATCATATCAAAAATGTACATGTATTTTGCTTAGAAAACAATGTGAGGAAAATTTAGTAAAATACACCTTAAAATTTAAGAATATATTTGTAGGCAAATTCCCAACTATAAACAAAGTGAATATTTCGTATTTATGTTCAAAAGTAGACAATATCAAAACTTTAAACATCTGTATTATTAGCTGTCCTTATTATTCAAAATATGGAATTATCTTTAATTTATTGAATTTCAATAAGGAAATCAAAATTTCCGGTTCGACAAGATACAGCTTTGAATTCCTGTCGAAAGTTTAAGATTTTGTGCCATTTGATTTTAATTTATCTTTTTAAATTTGATTTTAATTTATCTTTTTAAATTTGATTTTTGTTTTCGAAATTTTAAAAGCCCTACAAATTATTTATGTAAAATTGTTATAGCCTTACTTATTTACACCTGTATATGCACAATTAACACCTGTACATGTACATAAACGGTGTAAATTCAATGAGTTAAAAGTGGATACATTCTCTTTATACACTGGAAATCATTTATTGTCAACAAAGTATATATTTAGATGAAAGCATTTACGTCACTTTCTTTATGTTTTGTGGTTTATTTTATTACTTTCACTTTGTTCTCGAAAGTTTCCCTAAAGTTTTTGAAGTCACCTAGTGTCACTATAAATTTGCAAAAAACTTTCAGGAACTAAGCTTATAGGTCACACAGCAAGAAAAATGAAGTCTTAGAAGAACGTCACAGGTATAGCCTTGTATATGCCAGTGACCGTGGCCATGAACCTATTTCAAGAACATACAGTTTCTTAATGTAGGTCGGTAAACCAGGAAAGTCCTTATATGTAAATTGAAAAATTTCTAACTTACCATATGGAAAAGTCTATACTAGCTGACCGACTGGTAATGATCTGAATTTGAATTTGTCTGAACTGTATAAAGTTCCGTTTAACTATTTATTTCTGTACAATATCTTCTACTGCTTGGATAACAAGATATATGAGCAGTTATCAATAATCAAAGAGGAAGCTATTTTTCAGTGTCATGCTTTTCCTCCACCTGCAAAGAAAAGAGGTCTGGAGATGCAATTCCTTATAAATTAGTTTTACTCCAGGGTTCAAAATCCCAACGTAATGTTTTTAAAAGGATCACACACCCATCCACCACCCCACCCCATCCCAAGATTATCAAATTCACCAAATTCAATATATCTTTAAATATATATTCAAAATTCAATATGTTAATTATTCAGCGCTATACATTGTTGTTTAAGACAATCTTGGTAACATATTGTTAATTCGTTTTTTATAATAAAAAAAGTTTTAAAACGTTCATCTCGAAGGTCACAATCTCAACCATATAAACTGGAAAAAAAATATTCGAATGTAAATAGATAGATATTGTGTTTATGGTTGTAGATATATCTTTATCATTATAGTTTGGGGGGGGGGGGTCTCGAAATTGGGCAAATTTCAAAAAAACTGTTTAGAGGTATATGTTTCAGCTATACGTTCAGAAGTACGACATACTGTTGTTTTTGTCTCAAAGTGTTGAATTAAATTCAGGCGAAATAACGGAATGACAATTTAGATAATACACAGAACACTATCATTGACAACCTCTTTAATTTACGATTTTTAATTAATACAAGGCCGGATATAGACAATAAGGCTTAGAATTTATATCAAGAAAAAAAAAGATATTATATTTATATTTACAGTAAATTTACTGCAAAAAGTAAAACCGCCACCGCACGTAAAACAACTACTTTAACAATCAATATAAATCATTCTGACAAAACGTCACCCACCTCGGATGGACTTTTACGAGTTAAATGACTTGCCTGATATGATTGATTAGTTTACCGCTCGAGGCCTGATCGACTTTGAAATCGAGATATAATTTTTGTGGGTATGGCATTTTTATCGTAGATTTCACATTTATTTATCTGCGGTCATTAATGCTTTTATAAACGCAAATTATTTAGTTAGTCAGTCTAAAAAATTGATTAAGGGACAGAATTCTGTAAATTTTACAGGCCAAGGGTATGCGTCATATAACATAACCTAAAATATATTCTTAATTGAGAAATTTCGTTTTTCTTCTTTTGTCAATAATTTACGTCGTTATTAAGTAGCGATGAGTATCATTCAAACATTTCTATTTTCCGATTATTAAGTGTTTTGATGATATGAAGTCATTACAACAATATCCTGACACGTCCGCTAATAGTTGTTGATACAAACAGAAAATGTCATTCTACACAATTGAAGTACAATAAAGTAAAAGATCAAATGCGCAATGTCAGATTTCAGTAGTGCTTGAAATAACCCATTTATCAGCAATATGATTCAAATACACTTGAAAAATTGCTATTTCAATAATGGTTTTAAATGTCAGAACATTTGACAAAACGACAGCGTTCCAGAATCCGAATTTATTTTGATGACACATTTCGCTGAGTAAGCTACTACTCACAACACCCCCAGCCGTAATAAAATATATATGATCAGTTGTAAAGTAACCTGTATATAACTTATCTCTGGCCAAAAGTGTTGGTATGCATTCTTTTTTTTAATGGAACTAATACCACTTTTAGGACATACAAAAGTGATAATTTATTGCGTAGAGGAAACAACATGTCCTCGAAAATTCAATTAAACGAACCTAAGAGTAACTCAACATCCCTGTCAATATTGCATTTGAACAAATCCACAGAATTTGGCGGGAACTACACCGAGACAACAGATGACTATTACAACTACTACTACTACTACTATGATCTGCCATACCAAATGGTAACAAAAGAATGGCAGGTTCCTATTTTTGCGTATTTATATTCTGGAATATCTCTCTTGACAATTTTAGTAAATGTTATGGTAATTTACGTATTTGCGAAGAAAAGGATGCGTTCGCAGACGACATTTTTGCTATCTTCGCTTGCTTGCTCTAATTCAGTGATATGTTTGGCAGTTGCAGTCTATCACATATACTTTCATCTACTGGACCATTACAGGGATCCAGTAGAATATAAGTGGTGTATTTTGAAGCGCGTGCTTCATATCAT